TAAAGCAAAAAGATATGGGCTTAAAGTCGATCCCTGATGTAAACCAACAGAAATAGGAAAATATTTTGTCAATCCTCCTTCAGTTTGAACACAAGTAACAGCTCTAGTATACATATCTTTAATGACTTGAATATAAGTCATATCAACACATTTCTTCTCGAGAACTCTCCAAAGGATATCTCTTGGAACCTTATCGTAAGCTTTTTCTAAATCAATAAAAATCAAATGTAGATTCTCCTTATTATCTCTGAACTTCTCCATCAAACCTCTCAATAAATGTATAGCTTCCATCGTAGACCTGCCAGGCATAAATCCAAATTGATTATGAGAAATTTTCGTGATGCATCTTAACCTATGTTCAATTACCCTCTCCCATAATTTTAAAGTATGATACATCAACTTAATTCCTCTATAATTTGCACACTCTTGTGCATCCCCTTTATTCTTAAAAATGGGGATCAAAATACTCTTCCTCCACTCCTCAGGCATCTTTTTAGTTTTTAAAATAATATTAAAGAGTTTAGTAAGCCAAGAAACTCCCAAATCTCCCAAATATTTCCACACTTCAATTGGGATATCATCAGGTCCTACAGACTTTCCACCCTTGGTTTTCTTTAAAGCCTCCTCAACTTCTATTTTGCTAATGCGAAAAAAAAAATTTTATATAAGTAGGAAATAATATTTAGTTAGTAATTTCTCCGTTCAAACATTCGTTGTCATCTCAATATTCCAAGCTTCCAAGATGGGTCATTATAGGTATAGCTTTAAATTTCCTCCACTTAACACTAACTTCAAATCAATGAATCTTTCTTAATTTCTTTTTCATTCTTTATTGCTCAAAGTAAAAATTATTTTATCTGTGATCTAAATCAAATCTTCATATATTAGCCTTTCTCAAAAAAAAAAAAAAAAATTATTTTTATTCACCACGTTTTCTATTATCAATTTATAAAAAAATAAAATAAAATTTTCACAAAGAGGCATGTCCTATTTTTATGGTTATATCATGTCCCCGTATCTGTTTTAGTAGTTGAGTGTACTTCAAAGGATACATGTTTGGTCACAGAAAATTAGATTTAGAAATTGAAGTCTTTATTGCTATCCAATGACGGGCAATAAACTTGTGCTTAATACAAAAGTGAAAAATGTGACAAGAATAAATTTTCGTTTAAAATAAAACATTATTATTTTATAATTAATTTGTAAAATGTATATAAACGTAACTCACCTTAAATCCAATGCCAAACTTTCCAATACGATCTTGATCTTCTCTATTTTTTTGCTTATGTCCAAAGGAAAGCATTCTCAAAATGTCATTATGTGTCATTCCATCCCCATCATCAACAAGTGATAAAACAGGAATTTTGTTTCCATCCTTCTTAGAATATAAGAGTTCTACAGAAATTTCCAATCTGCAAACAAAATAATAGCAGATTATTAACTAAAACAAATTATTTATGCTCTCATGGAACACAAACCGTGCACTTGTAATTTTGGAATTACTGAAAATCCTGTAGTCATAAAAAGTTTATTCGAGCTATAACAAAACACCTGGAATCTAAACTTAAAAATCTTGTTAAAGTATTTTGTATTGAGAGCATATATCAAAAAAATTCAAATAATTTATATGAAGTAAATGCATTTTGACATTAATGAAAACAAAATGACAACTGATACGCTTACATGCACGATTAGCAAAATATAAAAGTTCCAGTAAATGCAATTTTATATGTTTTCATGTACAATGCAAAGTGAACTGACTCCTATCTACTCAATTAATATGACGTTGAAACAAGGAACTTCAACCCCACCTGATATATCTTCCATCAAAAAAGAATAAACGATGCGATAGAAAGAATCTAAACACTAAAAAAAACATTTTTATGAAGTAAAAGGTTAAAGGTGATAAATAAGTCAATGAAAATTAGAATAAGCATTTATAACATCTCAAAATTTGGAGTATTCTTCATGAAACAAGAGTTCTTCACAAATTTCAGAAAGTTGAGAGCAACAAGAAAAATAAATTAAGTGCAACATAGCAAATAAGTTCTAAATGAGATAAACATCTTTATAAATAACCATATTTTTTATTTTATATCGAATTAGGAAGTGAAACTTGTTACATTATATGGCTACTAGTGAAACCATTATGGGCTCCTAGAAGGCGTTTGGGGATACAAAAAGACAGTAGGGAAGATGTAGTAGGGGTAACAGAATAGGGCAGATGGACGGCGGCTGAAATTCCGGCTTTGATGATAGCAGAACAGTGAATAGAAATGGAAAAAAGCATTTTTACTGGTGCGAACAGGAGTTTTCTGCTAGTAGCGCTACGAACGAGGTTCTTGAATGATTGGGAGAAATCAACACTTTGATCCTATCAAGCTACAATCACCCCACCTAAAGGAAATCCAATGATACAAGGCTTTGATACAGAAAAGTAGGAGAAAACATCTTCAAATAACATAACAATAGACAAAAATTCTCAAAAAAAAAAAAAAAGAATAGAAATATATAAAGTCTCCAAGAAGGAAACTCACATTAGCTTTCCAATAATAACATAAAAGGGTCCATAAGCATAGCGGTAGAAATCCCAGGCCGGAAGGCCCGCTGCAAGTCTATCTGGACAAAATCTCGTCCTAGTTCAAACATAAGTGGGAAGTCCATACAGATCACTTGTGATCGGATCCCAAAATCCCACGGAAATGCGGAATCCCACATTTACGCTCGGCTAACCATAGGTGTGTCCCGCATTATTCCACCTGGGTAGGAGTTACATATCTATCCACGTAAGCAGATTTTCTTGTGGAGGATTACTTTGGATGTTGTCTCCCTAATTTTAAATTGTTTACTAGACGCCTTACCGATAAATTTCTCTGTCAATGGGGATGCAATACTTGTGAGAATCAGGACCATATTACCACCAGCTGTAGAGTCCTTATTGATGTTAAGGAGAAATCACAATTAATGGGGTATCTCCATCCCCCATTTTCGAAACTCGCGGAAGATTCTTCACATGATTGAGCATCCTGACAGCACACTTACTGATAGTTTTGCCATTTATTGCAAAGTTGTATATCAATATTAGTGTGCCAGAAATGCCGAAAAGCATGGAAAGGCATTAATAACTCGACTATTCTTGCCTCTTCTTTGGAAGCAATGACCTCCTCAAACAAATTTCAGCTTTTGGAGCAATGGGACACCTCTCAGTCTTCCGGGCTGTCTTGTTCCTCCTTTTGGCCCCGAAAAAAATCCCCTACTGTTTGGCTGAAATTTAGTGTTGATGTCGGCACTGGGATTGTTCTTGCAGCTGGCTTGTCCGTTCAGCATTGGGATAGCATTAAGGTGGAACTTATGGCAATATCTTAAATCAAACATTTTTTGGAACCTTGGAAGTTCGATGCCGTTTATTATTATAGAAAGCGACAGCAAAAACACCATTTCCTCTCTTTAGCTATCCAAAATCGATAACTTTTGTAGGATGCAACCTCTCTTAAAAAGAATCTTTTCCACCATATTGATAGAAATAAAAATATAGTTGCTCACATATGCCCACAAGGCGATATATAATGGTTGTTTTTGTTAGGAATGTGGATAACTCACGCTACTTTTTTCTTTTTGTTGGATTTCATAGGGCCCATATTTTGTCTAGTTAGGCCCTCTTTATATCTTTTGTAATTTTTGTTTTTAATGTAATGAAATATGCACATTTCAAGGGTAGGAGTTTTGCCTTCTTTGCTAGAAGCTTCGGGGAAAGATCTGCCACCATCAGAATAAATTCATTGCATTGTTGTGGATGGGGGAATCCCACTATAAAGTCTATGCTCGCATCTGCCCACACAACTCTAATACATATAAGTCCTTCCAAAGTCTATCATGATAGAATAAATAACAATCATTTTTGTCACAAAAAAAAGTTGGAACTGCACATAGACATATATTCTCACGAACCAAACCTCGAACCATTAAATATGTAATAAGCTTCTATCACTCCTTATACTCAGCTGAATGCATCATATAAATATGTCTAGAAGAACCGATCCTGGAATGACATCTATGTCATGCTGGACTACTCTCAGTGGTAATCACTAAGGAGGTAAACTATTAGTCATAATATCCGACAACCCTCTCAATAAGGCCTCCCATTTTTTTGTTATCTTCCTCGGATTCACTAACTTCTAGGACAGTCAATCTTAATCCAATTGGGAGCTATCTCATGGACACAGTTGGGATCACTAGCATTTCTACCTCATCAGCTGCAAGCTAATACTCCTTTCTAATGTCTTTATTCTCTCATATGTCAATGTCCATATTTTTCAACTGCTCCCTACTCAATGAAAGAGATTACCCTACTATTTGGGCAATTGGACGTAATGTACCAAAAATCATGGCACTTGAAGCACTTCATAGTTAGGACAAATTCATAGTACTAGCAATCTCCACCTCCTATCACCTGTTACTGTTATGTTATCGCTCCACCTTTAGGGTCTAGATATCCTATAATGTCCAATAGCATTATAATTGTACCACATTACCAATGGGCAGCCTAAATCCCCCAAGACATCGGGCTATGGTGGTCTCCTATAACTCCACTATTTCATATTTCAACATAAGCTGCTCAAAATCACAAGTGTACTCCTCTACTAAGAGAACTTATTGTTATAAATGGTAAAATCTCAAAAATGTCATGTCTGTAGCGAGTTGGTGGGTACTTGCTAACAGAATTCTAGCGGCAAAAATCCCTACCCACAATTCTAGCGGCAGAAATCCAGAGCGAGAAGGCCCAGTGCATGTTTATCAAGATAGAATCCCATGCTAATTCGCGCGTAAACGAGAAATCCCTACAGAATACTTGTGATCTTATCCCACAATCGCAGAGAAATGCGGAATCCCGCATCCACACTCAGTCATAATGACATCTCGCAAACCATAGGCACATCTCACATCAACTAGGTAAGACAATTTTGAATTTAGATTCTTAAACACTTTAAAAGCTAACAGTCAGAGCATGCATGTCATTACTTTATAATTTGAAACTAACACATAAGGACATTTTAATTTTGAATTTTTGAATTCAAACACATTCAAAAATATCGCAGCAAAAGTTCATTATTTTTAGATTGATCATGATAATATAATGTGGTTTTAATTTTGCAATAACTAATTTAACTAATATTTAACTATTACATAATGTATGACATTGTTTTAAAATTTGAGTTCAATTTCAAATTAATAATAATTTTATTTCATTGAATCATATATGTCAAATTTAAATTTTAGTTATAGATTTATATTTAATTATATTTACTTGCTGAATCTTTAATCATATTAACTCAAGCTGAGCCTTACCATACAACTAACATTTCTGTTTTATTTTTATTATTTTTCATATCCGACAGAAAGTAGGAGTATCATCTAATTTTCATAAAGAACTGGCTGACTATTCTATGTGATTTGCATCTAGTACTCCTAAATGATCTATAAACGAATATAAGGCCTGTAAAAAATTGTTTTTTTATAAAATGATGGGCCAAAAATAAAAATAGATAAATAATTCCAAGTAAATTAGAACAAGTAATTTCTCAGTAATCCACGCATTCTTCAGAAGCAACAGATGCTTTGATAAATTAAGAGAATTGAAAGTCAATCAGAAAAGTAAACAGATGTTATGAGAACAGAGCACGTATTATGAAAAGATAAACACGTTCAAGCAAAATTATTCCACCGTTCAATCTGAAACACATTCAATACTCATAGCATTATTCACCTAATTACAGTAGTCTTACCTACAACGATCCGGAGTAAGCACAACCAAAAATTACGTATGCTGCCAAATGGAGATGATGCAGAGGAAAAAAATTATGAATGGACAGAGGACAAATAAGTGCCGTGCAAATTAGAATAATCATTTGTACTTTCTTAATTTACCTGGGTTTCTTCAGGAAACAGAGATCTTGATAAATATCAGAAGGTCCAAAGTCAGGAATCCAAATAAATGCAACATAATTAGAAACAAACTTTGACTGCAGATAAGGATATTCATATTAAACTGGCGCACTGTCCTATCTAAATGGCATCCTTCCTTATATAATGCTGTCAAGTTGATATAATGCTTAAAGGTTTTACGTTTTAAATCTTATGTTCATAACGAAACCAATGCTTAAAAGTAAATAAAAACAGCTAATTTCACAATGGGAAAATTCATCAAGTTTAACTAACTTGGGAATCAGTTTTCAAACTTCAGAGTAAATTAGCAGATGCAAAACAAGTGATGGTCTTCTTGAAGAATGCAAATGAAGATAACAAGATGATCTGAATCACAATTTTTTTTAATAAAGTATTGAAATAAATATTGATCAAAAGAAAAGCAGAAACCCCACAATCAGCCATGAATTGATCGAGAAATGACAGGAAGATTTTTATATTGCAGCCATGATGTCAACTAAAAATGTTGTAGCATTGGTAAATGATTATTCGCCATCTACAGATAAAAGCATGAATTATTTTACAAACCACCTCATATACTCTTGTTAATATAAGTTGCAAAACCTATTCATGTTTTGATTCATTAAATTACTTCAATTTCAAAAAATACATCTAAAATCATCTAATGTAAAATTAATTACTAGTTCTAAATAAGCTTAAAAAATGACAACAACAGGATGGAATCAAAATACAGAAATCATAAGCAAAGATCTAACAGAATTCATTTGTTATTACCAAAGCAGTAGCAATAAAAGTTGAGGAAAAAAAAACAAGAAGATCAAGTCATGACAAGAAAAGCTATGTTATAGAATAAGCAATTCTATCAAATTATGACTGAAAACGAAATCAAGAAAATAATAATAACATGATCCTAAAAGAGTTTAATCCTCATATAAAACTCATGGAAAAGAAATTTGTCATATTATATACCTAGTAGCGTGAGCATCTCTAGAGTTATCAATGAGTTCAGCGATTGCCCCAAAAATCCAGGCAGAGTGAGTTTGACCAAGCGTTGTCAAATAACTTGGATCCATCCTCACAAGATTCTTTTGCCGGAAATCTGATATCATGACATCAGCTTGATCAGATGTAGTGCTGCCAATCTGAATAACTTTATTAGACATAGATTGTCGTGCGGTTCTTTTACACATCTTCACATCCTTGCATTGATTTCTATGAATGATAGAGACCCACTCACCGTCCACAATATCTACGTCCTTAACAGATTTACACAAATTTTCAGAAGAACCATCTCTAATATTGTTTCCGAAATTCTCAGGATCCGTAACCATATCTTCCAAAGAAGATATAGAACTGGGACTGGGACAAGTAAATTGTTGTTTATTTTGCAGAGTTCTTTCACTTCTATAAGACTCCCGATATGAATTGCGGGAATAAAAAGAAGATCTGGGATGACCATGAACTGCAGCAGGAAAATATCAACATCGTAAGACAGTAAAATTCAGAAAATGAAAGAGCAGTTGAGTATCCAAAAGAAAATCAGAGATAAGAATAAATCAGTCCAAACATGAAAAACATTTACGGCTGTTTAGTTGACTAACATCTCAATGTCATGTTATTAAAGAGCTGTTCAGCCATTTGGTTTAACTAAAGGAAATGCAAAGTAAATTTGAGGAATTTAAAATGCCCAAAACTGTCAATTTTAATCAAATTTGGAAATCACCGAAGTCAATTTTGAATTACCGTGAACAACCCCCTAGCCGCAATGGAGACCACTCTCGCTGCCCCGTCAAGCAGAAATGTCCTCATTGCATTTGCCTTGGCCGCACTCACTCAATTCATCCACATCGCCCGTCTCTAAAATGTATCAACGCCCACTCACATCGAGTATCACCCGCACACCCTGCTCACATTGCCTGCTTATGTCTCTGCGCCTTCACTCAGCTAGTGTTTCAGTAAGAGTTAAAGCTGTTGTTCCCGTACCTGCACTTCTCTAACCTACAAGAGGCATCAACCTATTACACAAAATGCCTGCTGACTACCACCCACTTGTTCACATTTCAATGCATTTAAAATGCAATCTAGCAAGCAAGCAAAAAAATAATATTTCAATGCATTTGATATGCAAACCAATCAAACAACTCTAATATTTAAAAAGGCATACATATTTTAAACATCCAACCGAACAGCCCCGAAGATATGTCAGTTGTTTGGTTTGCTACATCGCTACAAAATAAATTTATAAATGAATGTTATATCTACTTCAATGCCTGTCAATGAAAATTTGTCGAAATCAAGAGATGTTCAGGCACCCAAATATTCTCCTTTTTGCAAACTAGAAAAATACTGATATTTTTAAATGCAATAGCCCTGAACCAAATATACAATATTTTATCAAGGGCACTAACATTCAATAGCATTGGCATTTTAAAAACAAAACATCTAAATAGCATTTTCTTTACCCAGAGGGCAGACTTGCCAAAGCACAAGGCAAGGCAACGAGCTTGCTAAGCAGGAAATCAAGACAGACTAGCTACTCAAGTCTGAGAATAGAGCACGCCAGCTGATTGAAGAAAAAGGGATATTCACTTGGGCTCACAAGGGACTCGCCAAATGCCCTCACCAAAATCGCAAGATCGACTCTGTCCAAAAAAATCATTAATGTCCCAAAGAGCCATGCAGCAATTACCATCAAGAAACCCTATCTCCTTCTATGTAGACTACATGCCTCTTATATTCTATATATTTCTATTTACGTGTAACGCATATTTTGTGGCTTTTTTCATAGTGCTCAAGAACTCTAATCACCACGTGTAAATAGAAAATCTCAAGAAAAGCCAAGGGCTCTGCATTCCTTTGATACACTAGCCACCTGAGCATATAATAAATTTTAACTCTAAGTTCCAGCCTTCTTCCCTGCTCATCACTGACTATTTTAGTAAGGTTCTGGTGTAATAAATAAATAAAGCGGAATCCAACATTCCTAAAAGTTAATGTGAGCATGAATCCATGTCTAGAACTCAAAGGGACACTTAGAAACCTGCAAAAGAGCCAAACAGATAACAAACTAAAGACAAGCCAGTTAACATAGAGAACCAAGCTTTTGTAACTACGAGGCAGAGCAACTTGGAAAAAATGATCAAGAACTCCTAGATAAGCTCCCAAGGGCTACTCGCATGTGCAAATATTCAAAGGGTATACAGATTCGAGGGCCGAGAAGAAAAATTCAGGGTTAAGAGCACTTTTGTCCTTGGATGAGACCTATTACTTAGAATCTGATGAAAGGGATTCAATCGTAAATCTTATCAACTAGAAGGGCAAACAAAGAAAAGAACATAGCTGACTAATGTTTATTTGAGAGAGATCACCAAAAGCATGCCACATGGCAAATTTTAGTTCCCACAATGAAACCCCATGGTCCAACTGATCTGACTGCCAACGTTGCTTTCATTGATTCAACCATCTCAACTTAAAATTAACTACGAGTTGAAGTGTTGATTATTCTTTTGATCACATTTAAGGAGTCAACCTATAGATGGATTTCTTGTTTGTCACTCTAAACAATCACATTGTCCATCGAGTTCAAGAAAATATTTGTAATGCAAGACCCAACGCCTAGCATTCCCAAAAGAACTTGCTAGTTCTATTGGAGATGTGCCAATAACTAGGAAAATCACTTTAAACATTAATAACAAGATTTCAGAGGGAGACACGAGCAATTAAAGACCTTGAGCAGGCCATTGCTCAAGCAACTTTGATTCGATGCCGTTTGTGAGAAACCTTTCTGTTAGTCTCTTGGCCTACAACAGTTGGTAATGCTGGCCGAATTGTTGAGCTCACCAACTCTCATGCAAATGTCAAGTACAGCCATAAAAAAGAGTTGATGAAGAAGCCGAAGTTCCTATTCCTAAAACAACACAATCACTTCAACCACCCATGACTAGAGCCCCAATCAATGCAACAACACTACCGCCCCCAATAAGCTCACCATCCCATGAAACAAACAATGTTTGAAAGGCGAGACACCATTAAATAAGGGAAAGCCTATCAATTAATTCCCTATTGTCACTCTATTTCGAGTGTCCATGGTCGAACTAGTTGAAGATATTTAAAATAAAGAGCATTTTAGAGGCCCAAATTGATGAAGATCATACGATGAGCCAATCGCCAAAGAAAGAAATGATCCCATTCTAGTGCCTCCTCGGGCGGGGTCGGCTTGAATTTTCCTCTGAGTGGTACTCTTATTATAAGATTTTAGAACTCTGCAATAAATATGTGGTGGTCATCCGGTAATATTATCTCTCTGTTTTTGAAGCTAGGGTTTGCACATCCAATCCGTAATGAATTGTTAGGTACTGGTGCTGCATCTTTATTTCATTTCGGACCAATTTGTGATAATACATTTTCCCTCACGCTGGTGTAGGTGCTTCAAATTTCGTCACCAAAGTAATGTACTCTTCTTTAACTTGTTGGAGACTAGTTTAACCATTTCATTCTGTGAGACGTTACGGCACTCAAAGAAAATTTTCATAATCTGAAGTCACTCAAACTTGTCCGGATCCAAATGATCGTCAAAATATAGCATATTCATCTTTACTTCAAAATCCTGGCTTCTCAGATATTTTAGGTCAAATCTTTGAAGAGGAAGTTGTTCATCTCTGAAATCTCTAACCAGCACTTCTTCTCTCGAGCTCCTCTAATACCTTATCTCAAAGCATTGCGGTCTATCTTCTCTTTCACTGGAATTGCCAAAATGGGTGAGATTCAGGTGTTTCTTAATCTCTCCTCTTTGGATCTCACTGCAACACTCGTAAGTGATCTCTCTCTGTATCCGTTCCTAAATTTTATCGAGCTTCTGTAGCACTCGGCGATGTTGACGTTGTAACTCTTCCATGGTGTACTTCTAATCAGGTTCTCACAATTTCCTCCTTGCAGGTATGATTTGAAATTGATGTAGAGTGAGAAGGAAAACAATTTAGTAGAGGTAGGATTGGGTAGAGGTGGACGTTAAGAACACTATGATAAGACTAAGATTAAGCTATCCCTGATACCAAATTTAACCCAGCCATAATGGTAAAAGCAACACATTTGAAAGGAAAAATACAACAACTAGACATTCAGAAATTTGAAATAGCAACAACAATGGCACAAACACTAAAACTAGGGTGGATCTCAGGGTGGTGATAGTGATCAACGAAGGTTTAGCGAGAAGGTGGCAAGGAGATAGGTGAGTCGGACAGCGAAGGAACAATAGCTAGGGGCAATTCTTGGCGATGGGAACAATCATGACAGTGAAGAGAAAGCGTTGGAACAACAGCGGACAACAAATAGAGGGAGGGAAAGGATGGTTGGACCGGGGCTGAATGGCAAGGGACAGCGGTAAAAATAGTGGTTACATGTCGGTCGTTGAACTGGAGTTTGTCGATTGCTTTGAAAATATCATATATATATATATTAGAAAAGTAGCATTTTAGTTTTGAAAATACACGACCGAACTGATCTCATATATTTGATAGTTTACATGATCGAGCACAACACCACGGCGATGCACCTATTTCGAGGAATAGATACATTACTCGACAGTGAGACTTTATTAAACAAATTACAGAATTTATGACATCTGTTTTTGTCTGTGAACTATTATATTGACCAACAAGTTCTCCTGTCTAATATAAAAGATTAATGAGGTTTATATTAAGCTGGGTACTAAAGTTTCCTATAAGAGCAAGTCTCTATAATTAATTACATCTTAGATGATTGAAGTCACCTCTCGATTTAGATTAGAGGTATTTGTCTTCATGAATTCAACGTTTAAGGTTTTCAAGGTCGTACATGGAAAAAGTCAAATGGGAATGGTTCAAAATGAGAACAATAATTTTCGGAATCCAAAAGAAGAAAGATAAAAGATGTCATAAATCCTGAAGAGAACATCGATGACTTCTCAAACTATCATATGATTTAGCTTTAACTTTGAAGAGATATTATTAAACGTTCCAAGTTGTCTGTTTTATTATGTATGGCTTACATTCAGATGATCCTGATAATGCAAATAGCCTTGAATGATTGAAAGGTTTATTATGTGAAATGACAACTTCGGAACTTAAAAAAAGTTAGGACTTATACTGTATAGTATGACTGTGCAGGGGCCTAAAGATAGGTTGAGGATTTAAGCCATCCTAGACGAATCAAAGTCTTATGGCTTGTTGTTTAATTCTAAATAATGATTTACTGACGTAAACCTGTTCACCCTCTCGAAGATGTTCTTATGTATGTTCTCGTTGTGCTGCCTGCGGTGTTAGTTCCAAGCTTCTTATTGAAATATCATCTTCATGGTTTAAGGTTTAAAAGGTACTGATTTGAGGTTTTATGTTTCACAATTTTGGTGTCATAGTTTGATTTTGTTACCGTTGTTCAAAAATCATTATTGGGGGAGTTTTAATTTAATTAGAGTGACACCGGTTT